AGTGATCTTGAGAAAGAAAAAAGTTGGAGAGATCGTGCTACCTGATGTCAAACTAGCCATAATAATCAAATAGGCCATAATAATCAAATAGCATGGTGCTGGCATAAAAACAGACATATAGATCAATGGGACAGAATAGGAAGCCCAAAAATAAACCCACAACTTTATGGTCAATTAATATTTGACAAAGGAGACAAGAACATACAATGGGGTAAAAAGAGTTTATTCAGGAAATGTTATTGAGAAAATTGAACAGATGCATGCAAAGAAGGAAGGAAGGAAAGAAGGAAGGAAGGAAGGAAGGAAGGAAGGAAGGAAGGAAGGAAGGAAGGAAGGAAGGAAGGAAGGAAGGAAGAAAAGAAAAACCAACCTCTTACACCATACAGGCAAATAAATTCAAACTGGATTAAAGACTTAAATGTAAGTCTCAAAATCATAAAACTTCTAGAACACATAGGCAGTAACATCTCGGACAGTTCTCGTAGCAATATTTTATTCTGATATGTCTCTTAGAGCAAAGGAAACAAAAGAAAAAATAAACAAATGGCACTGCAGCAAACTAAAAGGCTTTTGCACAGCAAAGGAAACCAACAACAAAATGAAAAGGCAACCCAACAAATGGGAGAACATATTCGCCAATGAGACATCTGATTAAGGGTTAATATCCAAAATTTATAAAAACATATAACTCAACACACACACACACACACACACAACAAACAAAAAAACAAAGAAACTCCCCAACAATCCAATTTTAAAATTTGCATCAGAATAGACATTTCTCCAAAGAGAACATACAGCTGGCCAATAGACATATGAAAAAATTCTCAAAGTCCCAACTATCAAAGAAATGCAAAGTAAAACCACAGTGAGATATCATCCCCCACACCTGTCTGAATGGCTATCATCAACAAATTAACAAATAACAAGTGTTGGCAAAGATCAGGTTAAAATGGGAACCTTTGTGCATTGTTGTTAGGAATGCAGGCAATGTGGAAAACAGTACAGAATTTCCTTAAAAAATTAAAAATAGAACTGCAGATGGCCCAGCAATTTCACTTCTGGGAATTTATCTGAAAAAATCCAAAACACTAATACAAAAGAATATATGCACCCCTATGTTCACTGCAGCATTATTTACCATAGCCAAAATTTGAAAGTTGCCCAAGTGCCCATCAGTAAATGAGTGGATGAAGAAGCTGTAGTACATTTACACTAATTGGCCATAAAAAAGAAGGAAATCTTACTATTTCTGACTGTATAGATGGACCTGGGAAGTATTATGCTAAGTGAAATAAGCCAGTTACTGAAAGACAAGTACCATATGATTTCACTTATATGTGGAATCTAAGAGCAAAATAAAAACAGACTCATAGATACAGAGACAAACTGACAGGTGTCAGAGGGGATGGGATTTGAGGGACTGGATGAGAAAGGTGAAGGGATTAAGGGGAAAAAGAACCTGATAGACACAGAGAACAGTAAGGTAATTACCAGAAGAAAAGGTGTGTGTGGATTTAGAAGAGATTAAGTGGGGGGATTAAATGGTGATGGAAGGAGACTTGATTTGGGGAGGTGAACACCACACAATACAATATACGATGATGTGTAATAGAATTGTATATCTGAAACCTATATAATTCTATTAACCAATGTTACCCAATAAATTCGATAAAAATTAAAATGTTTTTCTGAAAAAGTCCCCAATGGGAGCCTTTCTTAATAAGATAGCTTTCAGAAAATGTTTAAGTCTCTTTTTCAGATACAGTTTTAGATTTTAGTAAGAATTGAGAATACCAAAGACACCTGTTTTTAAAGATTTAATGACAAGTTTTAAGTGGGAGAGATGGCACTTTAAATAAATGATTAAAAAATATTTTCTTAGAACGTTTTATCCTAGACTATCAATCTGTGTATTTGCCAAAATTATTTACAACCTGACACACATTTTCACATAAACAATGCATAGAACCAAAATATTGCATTTGACCTTCAAGAAATTGTGCATCACTTGGCAAAAATCTGAAATGTCCTACTAATTTTGAAAAGAAGATAATTGCTGTTTTAAATAAAATTATATAAATTATTATAAGAACCAAATTAAGCAAATTATATCAGATTTCCTAATCCAATGATCAATGTAGTAAATGTAATATGCCCAGAACTTGAAAACCTTTAGAATCCTTCAGACCCAGGGTGGATATAATATTTTGCTGTTGTTTGCTTAGTCCTACTCTCAACATAAATTTTCTAGGTTTGATGATATAAGGAATAAAAAAGAAATTAACTAAGATCAAACAAGGTTATGATTTGAGCACTTTGAACCAATAACTTTACATTTGAGTACTAGTAGATGATACGAAATTTTTGTTAGTTATTAAGTCCATTTTTTAAAACCCCTGTTGGTGGAAGGTGTAGACTTTAATATCTTCTCCAATAGAGTTAATGAACTAACTGGAAACTATCTCATTATTTTCCTGAACCCCCTAGTGAGGAAAAAAAAAAAACCATTCTCATCTAATAGCTGGAGAAACTGAGTAACTAGTAGATGTAACTGTACTCATTTGCAAAGGAAAATTATAGCCTTAATATACCCTGAGCTGTAGATATGAAAGATATTGCATACATACATATCCTCTCCTTTATTTTTAAGGAAGCAATACCTGTTTCTTAAAGTATATATGAACCCTTGGTCCTATACCTTTTGGCAGAATAAATTATTGCTTCATGGCCTGACAGGGCAGTCACCTTTTAAATTTACTTTTAAATAATCTTTCCCTAATCCATGCAAGGATTAGGCCAATCGTGAATATTCAGAATTTCTTTGTGTTTGTTTTTATTCTATGGATTTTTGAACTGTAAAAACTCAGGCCCTGGCCTCATGGCTCAGTTGGTTGGAGCATTTTCCATGCACTGAAGGATTGCTGGTTCAATTCCTGGTCAGGACATATGTCTAGGTTTTGGGTTCAATCCCTGGGCAGGGTGCATCCAATTGATGTTTCACAACTCTCACTCTCTTTCTCTCTCCCTTCCTCTCTCTCTAAAAATCAATATATAGGCCTTTGGGTGAGAATTAAAATAAAAACCTCAGGAAATAACTCTTTGCAGAGTACATTGAGGCACTAATTGGGAAGTAAAAAAAACCAACAACACAAATTGAATTTATTTTTAGTTCCATAAAATTTCAGCCCTGGCTAGGTGGATCCCCTGGTTGAAGCCCTGTCCCTACACCAAAGATGTTTCATGCCCAGTCAGGCTGTGAACAGGAGGTAACCAATCGATGTTTCTCTCTCACATTGATGTTCTTCTCTCTCTCCCTTCCTCTCTCTAAAGTCAATAAAAACATATCTTCATGTGAGGATTTAAACAAAGTAATTTGACATTTCACATAGAAATTGTAAACCATCATATGGTTTTGATTTCTTCTGAATTGGTTTTGCAAAAAAAGTGGAGTGTTTCACTTGAATGGAAATGTTCTCAAGTTACTCCAGTACTACTGCAGGATTGATTCTTGTAGATTAGAGTTAGGTGCTTTATGTTTTATATTTTTATTTTTAAAAAGATCATTATCTTTTTTAAAATGGATTTAGGACATTCGAAAACAAATTAGAAAAATGTAACCATTTCAGTATTACCAACATAGGGCTTTGTGTAATGAGTGTGACATCATGACAGTGAAGTATATATTTTTAAGCTTTAAACAGGGAAAGCTTTATCTTGGTATAGCCAATAGAAATACAATGTGTAAATTAACCCATGTTATCTGTGTGCTGATTGGCTTAAGTTTCCATGACGTCACATTCTCACCACCCAACAATGAGGTATTTTATTGCTGTTCGGACATCAATTTATTACTGTAAAGGTCTTTTTTTTTCTTCTTCTGTTTCATTAACAGATTATTACAAAGCAATAAGCATGGGTGAGAAGCGGACGTCTTACATTGGGAATGAATGAAAGCAAGTCTGCTAGTTTTTATGGAAGTGGGGAGTTGTTTAAAATCCCTTATTACCCCACCAACAAAATTCTTCCAAAATGGTAACAAGGAAATGCATGATTCTAGAGGCATCCCTAAAGCGCCCCGGTGTCAGGCCATGTGGTGTGCTGTGGTATCACTGGGCCTTTTGGATGGGTGGAAGTTTTATGTATTCGTTGTATTATTCCTGGTGTTTTTCTTCAGTAATAACAAAGGGAAACACACACAAGTGCTTTGACATGACCAACCTATTAGTAAATCGCACTTGCAAGAAGGAAACGAAAGTCTGTTGCTCCTTAGGGTGAAAGGCGAGGAATAGTCATTTACATTTTTTTGTAGATTTATTGCTCTCCCCCAGCCCCCTCCCCACCCCGTAACTTGCAAATCCCAAGGTCAGCGGCGCAGCTGGGGACCACTCTGAAAGAGGAAGGAGGACAGGTTCGCTGAAGGCGAGGGTCCGGGGAAGAGGAGGGGCGGGCGCCCCGGGGCCCGGTGGCCTTCTCGGCGCTGCCCTCGGGGGCTGGGCCTGCGGTCCCCAGCCAGCCTCTCCGCTTCCCACTTCCAATGCGGGATCGGGTCGAGTTCAGAAGCAACCGCAGGATACAAAAGCCTCCTTCTGCCGGTTCAGCAGGACCGGACACGCCGCCAACTTGGCCAGTCCCGGGCGCGGGTCCGCGCCGAGCCGCGCCGAGGCCCCCGCAGCCCCTGCCCTGCGCCGCGGAGCGAGGCCGCCCTGCGCCAGGCGGACGCGGCTGGAGCTCGTGGAGGCTCAGCGCGCAGGCGCCGCCGAGCCCTGCCTGGATGCTCAGTCAAAGCACTAAGGCCAAAAAAAATAAAAAATAAAAAATAATCAGCAATTTATAGAAAGAAGAAGCTATAGTCTGTCGGGATGCCCAACACCAACAGGTAGGAGGCCATCCTCTCGGTTAAGTTTGCGGGGAGGAGGGCTCACAGTGTCGATGAAACTGCAGGTTCGCCAGGAAAGCGCTCCCCCTCCCCCCCAGGTGGGTTTTTTTTTGTTTTGTTTTGTTGGTTTTTTTTTTTTTTTACAATAAACTACATAATGGAAGTACATTCAGACAATGCATCTTCAGTCGGGCTTATTCAAAGCTCCATTTTTGGAAAGCGTTGCAAGACTGAGGACCATCAGCCTGCGAGCCGCCGGAAACAGTTCCCTTGCAGCACAGAAACAATCTTCTCGCACCATCTTCGCGTATGTAATGCATGTCTCTCCCCTCCTCCTCCTCCCCCCATTATAAATCCAGGGGTGGCGGATTTCAGGTTTCGTAATGTTGCATGATGAGATCGGTATTTACCCGGGGACGTACCAGTGGGGAAATTAAAATCATCGAAGCAGTTTTGCCCGGGTTACCGTCAGCATATTCCGAGCAAGTGAAAAGTGGCAAAGGAAATATGCTTAGTGGAAATAGCAGAGGAAGCCGATTTTCCCGGTGTGATTCCCAGGCATCTAGAAGAAAATGTGCATTTTTTTAATGAAGCCACTTTCGATTTGCAACTAAGATGATCAGTGTAAGTGGAAAGGCTTAATTGACCAAGAAAATCAGGTTCGTGTTAAATTTATTTGAATCCAGGCATCCAAGATTTACAAATGGAAGTCCATTATTCCTCTGGGTGTGTTTTCCTGGCCAGTATTTGCATTAACCATTTTTAATAATCGTGTGTGCTTAAAAGAGGAAAGATTTGCCAAAAATGGGGTGGGGTGGGAGTGGGGAAACAAAAGATTAAATCACATCAAATCCTGGGATAATTTCCTATTAATTTAGAAATCAGAAATGTTGAAATTATACCCTAAAGAATCAGCAAATACACTCATAATATGCAGCATGAATGGTGACACATGAGTTAAAAGACAAATATTTTGCAATGGTTCTTTGGATCCATATCTACAGGGGAGTTACTTATAAAATACTGACAGATACTAATACACCTCAAATAAATGTAGTCTCCTCTCTGTCTTCTGTTGTCAATCTTGTAGATTCCATTGCAACACTAGTGACTAATTCCTAGACTGGCATATTTTATGATTGTGGAACATTATCCCTTTTGTCCTAAAGGTACCTAAAAAAACGTATGTTCTCCAAAAGAGGAACATTTTTAAGTTTATCTAGCTTGGAAAACTAAGCAAGCCAATTGTCTGAACTCTCAAGCAAAAATACTAAAGCAAATAATAACATTCAAAATTAAAACTTTACTTACTTCCCATAAATCAACAGCTTTATGTTAGCACTGCCTGACATCATTGCTTTGTTAACTTCATACCTGATAGCTCTTTTTCCCCCCAGATATTCTGATGGCAAATCAAATGGAAGAAAAGAGGAAGCATGACAGCAGATTGGATCGATTCTCTTTGTGGATTACATTTGCAGTAAAATGTATGGGTCTGTCTTTTCCTTGTTCTGTCTAGATCATGAGACTTGACTAAGGCTGTATCTTTATCCTCCATCCATCTATGGCGAACTATAGCCATGCAGCTGACAACATTTTGCAAAATCTCTCCCCTCTAACAGCCTTTCTGAAACTGACTTCCTTGGGTTTCATAATAGGAGTCAGTGTGGTGGGCAACCTTCTGATTTCCATTTTGCTGGTGAAAGATAAGACCTTGCATAGAGCACCTTACTACTTCCTGTTGGACCTTGGCTGTTCTGATGTCCTCAGATCTGCAATTTGTTTTCCATTTGTATTCAATTCTGTCAAAAATGGCTCTACCTGGACGTATGGGACTCTGACTTGTAAAGTGATTGCCTTTCTGGGGGTTCTGTCCTGTTTCCACACTGCTTTCATGCTCTTCTGCATCAGTGTCACCAGATACTTAGCTATCGCCCATCATCGCTTTTATACAAAGAGGCTGACTTTTTGGACGTGCCTGGCTGTGATCTGCATGGTGTGGACTCTGTCGGTGGCCATGGCGTTTCCCCCAGTGTTAGATGTGGGCACTTACTCCTTCATTAGGGAGGAAGATCAATGCACCTTCCAACACCGCTCCTTCAGGGCCAACGATTCCTTGGGATTTATGCTGCTCCTTGCTCTCATCCTCCTAGCCACACAGCTTGTCTACCTCAAGCTGATATTTTTTGTCCACGATCGAAGGAAAATGAAGCCAGTTCAGTTTGTAGCAGCGGTCAGCCAGAACTGGACTTTTCATGGCCCCGGAGCCAGCGGCCAGGCAGCTGCCAATTGGCTATCGGGGTTTGGAAGGGGCCCCACACCGCCTACCTTGCTGGGCATCAGGCAAAATGCAAACCCCACGAGCAGAAGAAGGCTATTGGTCTTAGATGAATTCAAAATGGAAAAAAGGATCAGCAGAATGTTCTACATAATGACTTTTCTCTTCCTAACCTTGTGGGGCCCCTACCTGGTAGCCTGCTATTGGAGAGTTTTTGCAAGAGGGCCGGTAGTACCGGGAGGATTTCTAACAGCTGCTGTCTGGATGAGTTTTGCCCAAGCAGGAATCAATCCTTTTGTCTGCATTTTCTCCAACAGGGAGCTGAGACGCTGTTTCAGCACAACCCTTCTTTACTGCAGAAAATCCAGGTTACCAAGGGAACCTTACTGTGTTATATGAAGGAGCATCTGTAAATCTTTAGCCTTCTGAAACACTGACCTTCTCTCTTAAGCAACTGTGGCCTGTAGCCATATCTTGAGAAGAAAATCAAGAATGGGATTAGTGGTTATAGGGATTTGGGGGACTTTCTGCAGTCTTTGCAATTGTTCACCGATAATCCTATTTTAAATCTCAGAGTGATCCTGCTGACTGCCCATGGAGGTTTGATATTGAGAAAGGACTGAACCACTGCCCTCAGTTTCTTTATGTGGGTGAAAACTAGGTAATGAAATTAGCAGGTGCTAAGTATCAGTGCTAAATGCTGTGTATATCACTACTTATGAAAAAACATTTCAAAAAAAAACTAGCATTGGACATCTTAATAAGTTAAGTTGACTTGAGGTAAATATGTTGATAAAAACTAATTTTAGAAGTTTGAAGAGTTTAAAACATTTCATACTATTATTGTTTTGCAAATACTAAAATACTTGGGGACTTAAAGTACCATAATCCACTAAAGATATGCCATGAATTATTGAATTGTGACATTTAAAAAAATCATCTTGTAAGTTTGGAGGTGCATTCCAAAGCAGTATATTGGTTCCAATTAGAGTTTACTTTTTTTAAAAAAAAATGTGTGTTTATTGATTTTTAGAGAGAAAGGAAGAGGGAGGGATAGAGAGATAGAAATATTGATGAGAGAGAAACATCATTGATGGGCTGTGTCCTGCACGCCCCCTACTGAGGATTGAGCCACAATCCAGGCATGTGCTCTGAACAGGAATCAAACTGCTGACCACTTGGTTCCTGGGTAGACACTCAACTGCTGAGCCACACCAGTCGGAGCTAGAATCTACTTTTTAAAAATTAATACATTACCATTACTAAATACCACTTTCCTTACCTACTAGTTAAATTGCTAGCATTGAACTGTATTATTTGATTTTTTTTGATTTGGTACAAAATTTTCCCAATTTGCTTTTATTTGGCCTGGAAGGCTACATTAATGGTACAATTGAGCTGTTCTAATCATTCAGAATAAACATGTGTTGCTTTGAAGAGTTATCTAATATCTTTCATCTTACTTAGTATTGGAGCAAATAGTCAAGGGATAGCAAATCAGTAACTGGTCATAATGCATCTGGAAGTACATGGAAGATCATTTATACTCTCTTTTCTTTTTCCTCACGTGGTTTAAAAATTAAGGTGCACATTATTGGAATAATGAAATTGTGCTACTCATTCTAGTATGTTCTAAGAAGCAGGCAGTTGATGTATGTTTATATTTTAAGTCAGCTGTCCAGGGGAGACCAGCCTTAGTATGACATCCTGCACAGTTTGTGAAGTGTGTATTCTACAGAGGGCACAGTCTTGTTTATATTTTCTGCACATTCAGTGTATTTGTCATTTAAATTATTTCAGATTTAACTTGTGAAAGCTTTAATATGATTTCTGGTATTTTAGAAATATATTAGAGTCTGTGAGTCTCATTCTTTAAAATACAGATGTGTGAATTTCAATATAAAGTTGCATTTGCCAAAACTTAACTGTGTAGCCTGTTATTTTCTTGGAATAAGTTTTACAGTTTTTGACAATTAAAAAATTTTTGGACCTGGAAAGCAAGCACAAACTAGGAAGACTAGCTTTAATATAGTTTTTTTTATTTTTATTGCTCACTATTAACTTAGAAATGGAAATGCATGAATGATAGGGAGTATAAAGCTGATACACCAACAAATTATATTATCTGTAAAAGCATTATTTGATAACTTACTATAATTATCTTTCTCTTTATTTTTATAAGCCAGTAACATTTAGAGACATACCTGTGTAGTTGGTTAATTCAGAATTTTCATATAAATATCACATTTTAATTTGTGGCAGAGTAGAAATTCGGGATTCTAAATATTTAGCTTGTAAGAAGAATAGTTTACAATAATGTTATGACAGACAAGCTATTATTGTTTTTTGTTTGTTTTTCATTGTTTTTATTTGTTTGGGGGTTTTTGTACTTAAAAAATAAGTTTAGGAATACTGGAACAGAATTTTTATTGCTATAGTATATCTGTAAAGAGAATATATAAATATAAATAAGTAAAAATAAATAAAATGTCTCAGTGATGTATATAACTATTCAGTTTGCTCATATAAGGACAGCTGAAGCGATAATTTAGTGAGGACTCTATAGACCTCATTTTTACTTTATACCAAAGTTGATTGGATCTGAAACAGTTTAATGTACAACACTGGGTTGAATCTAGCAATAAAGTCCCCTGGTTGCTACTAAAATCATTATCCAATATACTACAATAAAGGAAATGTTATCAAAAGATATTCTGGAAACATTATGTGTCCAACTAAAAAAAATTACAGTAGAGACATTATTACAATGATTATATTTATAGAGAGCAACTGGTAGAAAATTCAGCAAGGATCTTGAGGACAGAGAGAGACCAGTCGCCATGTTGTATTTTGGAATCCTAAATTCCTCTGCTATTAATGCTATACACAAAATAACAACAACAACAACAAAATGGGAGTTAAAGTTCCTCCATATCTTGACTGTCCACTTCCATATGAGAGATATTTCAGTTCCTTCAAGAAACCTGGAGGTGTCTTTTCATCCATTTTTATAGCTTCCTGCAAGTTAGCTTGTGAATGCCTGGGTAAAGGAAGGCACTAAGATGCCCACTCCCAGGGGGCCTCCCCTGGTGCCCAAGCAAAGATGAGAATTACCTATGAAATGGTACATATCTTTATTATTCAAGTATGCCACTCCTTCAACTTTTCTATTGCCCCCTATTGGAGATATACAACCAAATTACCTAATCTATTAGCTGAAAAGTTGTCTGGCCTGCAAAATTCAAATACAATTAAACATATTTATAATTGTAGAGACATGTTCCTTCTCAGCCATGAAGTAGAGGTGCGTTGCAACAGGTGTTACTGTAGGACCCTTGCAAGTGGAACCAAAAATCTTCACTTACATGTATTCACCATCAGATAAATTTACCTTGTGCCATTTTTTACTTTATCCCACCAGTATCGTAGACTGTATTGTTAGAAAACAAACAAAAAAGATCCAGCTTATATTAGTTTCATATATAAAAAAATAGAAGGTAAGATGATAAATGGTAATGTTTCAAATGCTGGCTAAACACATTAATTTAGGTAGATGGTTATCAGAATTAGGGTTATTTATGATTCCAAAATCTTATGAGTTTGTTTTTCTATGCAAAATACATCACTTGCATGTCTGTGAATATTCTCTTACGAATGTTTTGAATGGAAATTGCAGGGCCTACTAAGATAACAGTTTATTGCCGACATTTTTATTGTTCTCAACTCAGAGCACGCTAGTGTTCTGTGACTTTCCCAATCCCCTCAGAAACTTTTTTAAAACCGCATTGAAATGATAGAATTGTTTGATTTTGAGGCACAAGTTCCTAATTAGTCTATATAATGGTTAAAACGAAGATGTTATTTGTAAATGATAGGATTCCTTTTTTTGCCATCAGTTAACACCATCAAATACATTAAAGGGATATTGAGAACTGGAGCAATGGAGAAAATATTTGGGGGGAGGGAGGGAAGTCTAATTATTTTTTTTTGCCTTATACTACAGTAGAACAGGTTTTAATTTTATAAAAGAATTATGAAAATAAGGATTTTGTTGTGTTTTTTTTTTTTGAGAAGGAGCTTTTATATCATCTCCTTTTGCCAAAGGGATGATATCCATTAGCTTGCTCAAGCCCTTTTGATTAAAAGGATTTTAAAGCCAGATTTCCTCCCACCAGATCAGGCAGTTAATTCAAGAACTGAAACCTTGAAAGGCTGGGGAGGAAAGAAAAGAGAACGTGTTTTTCTCTGAGTGATTATAGAAAAAGGCCTCAAAAAAACCCACAGGTGGCCGAGGCTTGGAATTATTCACAGCACTGCCCCTACACCCCTCCCCCGCCACCTCCTAGACAACAAAATCATCTTTAGAAAGGCAAGTTTTTTCCTTTTTAAAAAAACTTTTTTTTATTGATTTTAGAGAGCAAGGGAGAAGGAGAGAGAGATTAGAAACATCAATGATGAGAGATCAGCTGCCTCCTGCACGCCCCCCACTGGGAATCGAGCGCACAACCTGGGCATATGCCCTGACCAGGGATGGGACTATGACCTCCTGGTTTATCAGTCGGTGTTTAACCTCTGAGCCATGCTGACTGGGCAGAAAGGCAGGTTTTTAAGTTTGGCTTGGAGACAAAAAGTTTCTTTTTCCTCTGTGTTTGGAAAATAATAGATTCTTGATACAAATATTAAAATTGATACTATAATGCATGCCCTGGTTTATGGGATTTTGAATAGACAATAAAATAGCATTTAACTTATATGGATAGTCAAGATCATGAGGTGAAGAAGTAAGTCATTTTGTTTTCTCCACCATGAAAAAAAAAAGTTGAGGATGTTAATTTTGTCCCAGGGATAAAAAGACTTTTTGATCATTTTAGTAAGCATTTGTACTTACCCATCATTCAATCAATAATCATTTCCTGCATGTCTGTTCTTGGGCAAGTTACTTAACCTTATCTGTCTCATCAATAAAAAGGAGGTTACAAACATCCTCGGAGGTTACAAACATCCTCAATGCATTCATTGAGAGGACTCAGTGAATGCATCCTTGTGAAGCCCTTAAAAGAGACTCTGGCATCTTAAATGCTACCTTTTATTGGCACACAAATTATGAGACAATGTGAGAAGTGCTGTATGTGAGATAAGTGTTAAAGAAACACAGACAAGCAATTAACTCTGTGAAGATGGGAGGAGGAAGGTGATTTCAGACAGAGGAAATAAAATGAGCAAAAGGCAAATAAAGAGATTTGAAAGCTCAGGGTATGTTCAACATAGAGATCCACTAATCAGGGACATTTAATGTGGTGTGGCTGCAGCTTTGATACCTAGAAGGGGAAGACCAACATGGCATAAAGGTTAAAAAACACAAGATTTGGAAGTTTAAGTGGTTATTCTGTTTGTTACCAGCTTTATAATCTTAAATAAGCTAACTCAACTCTTTGAGTCTCAATTTGCTTATCTGTAAAATGGAGGAGTAAGTAGTAGCAACTACTACTTTTAAAGATTTTTTTTGTTGTTGAGCTAATAATAACTATTATTAATTAAGTACTTACTTCAAAGACCCTTTCTAAGTATTTTTCATTTATTATGATTATCATCATAAGTAGATGCTATTATTTTCTATACTTTACAAATAAAGAAAGCGAAGCACAGAGAAGTTAAGTAGCTTGCACAAGTTAGTAATAAGCAAGTCATGAATATAAAACACTTAGCACAGTACCAAACCCAGAGTGAAAACTCAATAAATGTGTTTGCTGGTGGTGTTGATTTTAACAAAATAACCGAAGAAGGTGAGAGACTAATGGGAGCTGAAGTGAGTGAGCAGAAACAGAGCTCCACCCTTCGGACTTCAGCTCCAACTTGTTCTCCCTCTTTTCCCACTAGGTATCTAAGGGAAGCAAAGAACAGTTGGTTGCCTAATACCCCTCTCTGCTTTCACATAGGATCATATTACCACCGAATCAGGAGAATCCATCCGCTTTTTCAAATGACTTCTTAGAAGCTCATCGCGCAATATATCACTCACATTTTAAAAGTGGGCTACACATTTTTAAGGTGGGCTACACACCTCAGGCCATGTGGAGAGTTTTACTTAGATCTGGCTCATAATCTTTGGTTCTAAATCAGTTTTGTTATATGCTATATAAAATGGAGATTTTAAATGATGGTTACCAAACTGTGTACAGTCTTTTCATGGAGTCTGCTGTCAAGTCTCCCTTTAAGGGTCCACCTTTTAGGATCACCATTTCCAGGCACATCCCAATTATTTATACTACTTTCCCTACCCTATACTCTCTCCAGAGCCTTATGTAACTCTAGCATTCATAACACTATGTAGTAAAGGGATGATTAATGGAGAATATAATAGAAGAATTACCTCATGAGTCCTGTTTGCTTAGTATTCATGCATAAACCTGGTCTTCACACTTTTCTATTTATTGACTCATAGTTGTTTACCTACCTGGCCATCCTTCACTGCATTTCTTTTTTAAAGCTGTTATTTTACCCATTTGAACCCCCATACATTCTTCCCAATTGAGCTTCATTCTTACTGTTTGACCTCTTAATTTATCAGTAATTTGTACCAAGGAGATTCCATATTCTAATTTAAAGTGATAGCCTGTGCCATTCCTCCATTCCAGTTTGGTGATATTTGTGGTCTCAGTAAACATATTTTCTATTTAATTATCCTGTTAATGTGGAAAAGCATGCCAGCCTGGGTGTCAGGACCTGTGAGTTGCTGACCAGCTACAGGCCATGGTCAATTCACTTGATCTCTTAGTTCCTTAAACTGGATAATAAAGGGGTTGATCTCTAAACTTTTTCCAGCTTGA